AACCCAATGTCATAAAAGGTTTCAGTTATTTCAGATGAGAGATTTTCCGTTCCTGTGTTTTTGTCTGTGCTCTTCTCACCGGTTAAAAGTGGGTGGGAACAAGGTGATGTCACGCATGTCAATGCACCAATGAGGGTTTTGCAATATTTGAATCAAAAACTAAGTGACAGTTTTCAAAGAAACTCCTATGTTCCAGCTGTTGATTTAAATGTTGAAACAAAAACTGTATCAGGAGTTCCACAAGGGTCATTTCTTGGACCACAGCTTTTTAAATTATACAAATTCCTGCTTGGCCACACGTTAAGGACAGTTTTGTAGTAGGTCACTTTGAGTCAGTCTCTGAAATACAGGTCAAGAACCTCTGAATTATTTTCTTATCTTACCTTTAAAAGTCACGTCAGTAACGTACGTACATTGGGCAGCCTTTTACAGAATCACTTGGTGCAATTCTGTTTCTGTGGTTTATGCCTTTTGGGTGTATGTGGGTACTTTCTTTGGACTGGTAGATAGTTGCACAAGGTCACTGAATTGAGTTGTAATGAAATGTGTCGTATAAAATTGTCTTGCCTCCATATGTAAAAACAGGTGATGCTTGCCAATGAGCCAGGAATAGAAAGAGATTGAGGGCATTCTGTGTCAAATAATAACAATAGCAAAATCTCCATTTTCCTTGGAGCAGAATTTATCTTGTACAGTTACTTTCCTTCTTTGCAGTGTCTGCAAAACACACGCAGTCATGCACGTGCTAAGAAACTGCTACACACTGATGGTGTAGGAATTTTAAGGTCAGCCTGCACCCTTTTGTATCATCTCATATCCCAAATTCAGATGATGTGCAATGTAGCATAGCAAAAGTTGTTTATATACTTTTGCAAAACTAATTAAAGTAAGGTAAACATGTAAGAGCCATGGTGTCGTGGTTAAACTGCAAATGTCCTGTCTTTATATCTTTTACATCTATTCCACTGAAAGAGAGTTGCTGCATAGAACAAGATAAAAGTTATAGATCATAGACTGTAATTAAAGGAAGCATAGACTGAGATAGAAACCAAATATGTTTTCCACACTCACTTTGAATACTGTTTGGTAGTGGTATGTGTGAAAATAACACCACAGATAGATTGGTTTCATTTTTCACATCTGGCCAAAAAATATTCTTATTTTAGAAACTTTTTAATTAATATGCAGGCCTGAGCTTTAACCTATAACAGCTTTGTCTTCTACACGTTATTATCAGAACAACTGACACTAGGCTGATAACTCTTAAAATGTCACTTTGTTTAAGAAGATCTATATCCCCATGGATTTAATGCTTCTTCTTCCCTGCTCTGCAGCTGCAGACTCTGCACTTAAATATCTTAATGATCTATTGATGTAAAACTAAATGACATTGGAGCTTAAAATAACATTCATATGTCAGTCCATTCAGGCCAGTTTCTGGGAGCTCATATGAAAATAGTGATAACATGCTTAAACAAGCATGCCATGAACCACAATTGTACTAATCGTACATTGCATGTTTTATCAGTGGCAGCTATTAGAGTAATTAATGAAGTAGAGATTGACCTTTGCAGCTAATGAGACATTTATTTCATTCATTTGTCACATCTCTGCATTATGCATTCAGAGGCTGCAGAATTAGAGACTGTCCTACTATCGGAAATACAGGAAGCAGTTTGTGGTGAGCTGTGTTTCTGCTGCCTGCCCAGTGGTAAACCATATGTAAGTGAAGGTGTGACAAAGCTGTCATGGTTTCAGTTTCAGGTGATCACGTGTCTTATAGAGATGCAGCAGTTTGGGTCAGAACACCTACAGAGAATAATGTGGACTGCACTGATTCTACAGAAGCATTATGTTTGTTTTTGTGTTTGGAGGTTTACCCTATTTTGGAAGATTGGGATCTTCTGATAATGTGTCAGTCAAAAAGTGATCAACCCCCACCTCCACTCCATCTCCAAGAAGAAAAGATTTGGATTGGATTTGGATTTCTGTAGAACATTTTTTCAAATGTGAAAACAAGTAGCATGCCTTAGAAAGTGCACGTGGTCTCTAGTTTCCTCATGTAATAACTCAGTATTTCTCTTCCTTCCTGTTCTGAGTTTTCACTCTGTGTGGAACCTCAGGAAGCAGTTGCTTTTGGTCATGAAACTGAGATGGACGTTGCATGTTCCACACTCTGCCTTTGTACAAGAAATAGAATATTTTTACAGCTAAATGTTATCCTCCCTTACTCGTTACTTAAATTATCTTGAATTTCCCTTGGGAT